GTCGGCAGGGGAGGAGCGTGGGCGGACCCTAACCCAGCGCCGAGGGACATCGGCGCTGGATACAGGTAAGTCACTGAAGGGTTTTAACCCCTTCAGAAGCTTGGGATGGGGGTGGGAGGGAGAGGGGATCTGCAGTGCCAGGAAAACGGTTTATTTTCCTGGCACTGGAGAGGTCCTTTAAGTTACCTCCTTTCCAATTTCAAAATACATTCTGGGGTTTATTTACTAAACAGGGATATCTGAGAAATTGCAATGGACTTGCATATTTATGGCCCCAAAAAGCCTTCGTCAAAAATTTACAATTTTATTGTAAATGTCCTACAATTCCTGGTTTACAAATAACACATTTGAATGTCTATAAGTTTAAGGTATGTTCAATGGTTATTGAATTGAAGAGTATTAAACTATGTCATACAATGATTAGAAATATGACGCCTAGCATTTAATTGGAAGAACTGTACCCAATGTCTGGATTGCTATACATATTGCTTGATTTAAAATAAATATTAGCTTGTTTGCAGCACTACTCTACATATGCGTTGTTGGTGGGGGGTCTTTGAGGTTGAATCTAAGGCTCTTTAATCCCAGATCTCTTCAGTTGATGGAGGTGGCTGGTGGATATTAGTGTTTTTTTTTTGTACTTTTACTTTTACATGGGTAAGGAGTATCATATTTCAAAGGCACTTTACAAAAGTGACAATTTCTATGAGATTCATTGAATTGATAATCAACACCCAACAGCCATGGAGGTTTTCTTTCTGCTTATGTTAGCTCCCCGAGCTTTCTCAGGGGCTATCTCTACTTGAGCACACCTGCCATCCCTTGAATTCCGACTCAAAGACCTCAGATCAGGCCTGCATTCTTTCTGAATGCTGTGGAGTGTCCTCGGCCATGGATGGATAGCTTCAGAGGTCTCAATGATAGGTTATTTCCCTGTGTAAAAGGTAATGGCTTGCAAAAGCTGCAGTTCATAAGAACTACAGCTTTTGGAAGCTCTTTTACGATATACCTCCAATGAATACATGCGTGAAAAATGTATGCATGTAGTGATTGGGGATACATCTACTAAACAGTATTTTGTTTAGATTTTTTTAAATTCTTTATTTTTCAAGTGCAAGATTGTACATTTATGCATGCAGTTATTGCCTCTGATGTTCTAAATGTTAGTCACTTACATATGTACATTATGAGATGTTGTAAACATAGCACTTTTTTTTTTTTTTAAAAGAGACCGGTCAAGCTGGTGTTTTAACATTTGTCACTAGAATGTAAATATAACCCTCGTGGGTCGGTTGCAGGCTAGTTAGTCTCTGCACTGTGTTGTGACTTGGGGGTTTGGGGTCAGACGTTAGTGTGGGTACAGATGAGTGCCTTGTTGTTGTTTGTTAATGTGGTATGCCCAATGTAGTGTGGCTCTGGTATGTTGCATCTTTTGTGGCCGCTTGTTGGTTCAGCTGAGTGGTGCATGTTGGTGCGAGTGGCGGTGGTCGTGCGATGTCGAGTGTGCTGCGAGCAAGGGGTTAAGTCTTGTCTTCAACGGGGTTCCAGATTAGGGTAGTCTATGTGGAGGTGCGCCGCGTGAATATGTGTGTTTACCTCGTCGGTGTGGTGTGGGGGCGCTGTCGTGTGGCTGCTTGGTAGGTCAGTAGGGTCTATGTTAGAAGCTGCTGTTTTATGGGCAACAAGAGCCCAGTGTGGGCGGTGTGTGATGTGTCATGGTTGGTGGAAGTCCCCTAACCAAGTGAGACAGGGGGGGGAGGTTGTCGCCTATTTCTGTAGTGGTTGTTGTGGATGTTATACGTGGCGACTCCTGTTTAGTGCAGGGGCCCACTTGATGCATATTGGATGTGCCGGTTGGGGTCCTAGTAGTAGGTGTCAGTTGGGGGGATTGTCGGTGGGTGGTCGTCTTGTGCTTGTCGCCTGTATGGCAGGTGTTTAAAAGAGAAAGGTAACATAGAAAATAAACTTAAACAAAGCTTCTGATTGGTAGGGGAAACAAATGTGAGCATGGTTATAAGAACTTAGTATCGAAACTTGACAGTTTATTAGGGTATGCTGCGAATTGGTGCAGTCCTTTCAGGTCGGAGCTTCTGGTTGTGTGCCACCTCTGGGTGTGAAGGTCACAGCTCTAGCGTTTTGTTTTTAATACAATTAGCACTGTTGAGTGTTCCTTTAAAGGAAGGGGTAGTGCTCCTCAAGCGGATGCTGGGAAGGGGTACCAGGGAACTGAAAATTGCTGGTCACCCATCTATTAGGTAGTATGGTTGTAGATTGTAAGCTTGTTTGGGCGGGGCCATCTTTCAACTACTTTTCCCTTAAGTGAACATGTTTTGTTGTTTGTTTTGTTTTGCCTACAGCACATGTTAGCCATATATAAATAATTGTAATTGGTACCATGTTGAATTTCTACACTGATCAGCCACAACATTAAAACCACCAGCCTAATATCATGTTGGTCCACCTCATGCTGCCAAAACAGCTCTGATGCATTAAGGCATAGACGCCACAAGACCTCTGAACGTGTTCTGTGGTAACTGCCACCAAGACATTAGCAGCAGATCCTTTAAGTCTTATTGGCTGAGAGCAGTCAGCTGACCCTGCTAGTTGTCTGAGAGCGGACAGCTGACGCTCTCAGACAATCAGTTACTCCCCATTCACTAAACTGGCTTGGAAAGAAACATACCTTTTCCCTTTTCCAAGCCAGTTTAGTGAATGAGGAGTCATTGATTTGCTCTCAGCCAATCAGTGGCACACCTGCGATGCGGCACTCCACACTTCCTGTAAGTGAAAATTCAGAAGATGGATGCCGCCTAGGGAGGAGTGGACATTGATGCTAAAGCCAACATAGGGGTTCTTGAAATAAGAGTGCGTCCAGGGGCCTCCTGGCACCATAACAATTTAATTTATATTAAATTAGAAAATGTTGATTGTTATGGTATCTGGACTATCCCATTAAGTTTTTTTTAGCAATTTGGGCTATAGTAGCTCTTCAGTGTAATCGGGCCTGACAGGTTATCCTTCGCTCCCCACATGCATCAATAAGCCTTGGGCGCCCACGACCCTGACTCTGGTTCACTGGTTGATAGGTACTAACCACTGCATCCCGGGAACACCTCACAAGACTTGCAGTTTTGGACATGCACTGACCCAGTTGTCTAGCTAGCCCTATTTAGCCCTTGTCTGTGTCACTCAGATAAGTTTGCGTGCCCATTTTTCCTTCTTCCAATACATGAAATTCAAGAACTGTCTATACACTTGCTGCTAATATATTCCAGCCCTTGATAGGTGCCATTGTAACACTATGATTAATGTTACTGTTTTCACCTGTTCATGGTTTTAACTTTGTGGCTGATCATTGTGTATTGCTATGCTTTCATTGAGCTCCTAGAGAGATTAAGCAATTTGCTGTTCATGGGTAGAGAAGGGGAAATTACAAAGAAGAAAAGTCATGACTTATCCCCATCTCTCTGTTAATGTAGGGTCATCATGTTTTCCTTTGGGCTCAAGCCCCAGATGTTTTTGGAACTTTGCTACACCCCTGCTACTCTGTGTTACTGTATTTCCTGTGGAAAAGACTTACATTTAATTTAAATAACAGTTGCTTACATTTATTTGTTTTCATTGGATTTAGCTATGCATTCTTTTAGTTTATTGAAGATTTTACACAAACACAGTGTACCCAGATACTTTTGCATTTATCTACTGATGGGAAGACTGTGCCACAATTTGACACCAAAGTGTTACACTGAAAACCAATTGTTATTTCTCTGTAAATATGTGAGCCTGCAATTCCCATGTCCCTATTATTTGTAACACCCTATTGTTTATATATAATGCATGCTTCCACCTTTTAACATAAAAGTATTTTATATTTTGAGATATTTCACAGCAACATAGGCATACTTAGGTTTCATGCTATCCAGGGCAGAGATTCATTTTGGCAACCCCCTTTCCCCTATTTTTTATATGACTCGGCACTTCCCAGGCTATGTGAAGCTGGCCATCCAACAATCGGAACAAATAAAAAATCCACTATTACATTTGTGCTGTATGGGAGGTTAAATGTAATATTAGTGTTGCTTTTTATATTAAGATAATATCAAATGTTTTTTTGAGTTATTACCCATTAAATAAAAGCCACCAAAGGTCACTCAGCCCCTACAACATCTAAAAGACATGAAATCGTGCCGGTTAGTTACTACTATGTTTGTGCCATTTAAATCTCTGTTCTATCTGATTTAGTTTTTGTTATTAACAATTTAATAAAGATCACCGAAGGTCACCCAGCCCCCCTACAACATCCAAGACACGTGAAACCTGGCTAGCTGGTTAGTGGGGCGTTTGTGCCATTAAAACATTTATTTGTGCTACTTTGTTTATGTTTTTTTTTTTTTTTTTTTTTAGATATAACAGTTTGTTTAATTGTCAAGGAATTTTATATAACCCACCATTCATTTCGACATCCTATGTTTTTAAAATACGAATAAAAACAAAATAAGCATTTGTCCCAGTTCGGTCTTGGAAATATTGAACATCATATTTGATCAAACCTCGTCCACTTTGCAATCAATGTTATTAAATTTAAAAAAATATATATAATTTGTTTGTGCTGTGTTCATGCTGATTTGTGTTGCAAAGACAAACGTTGGTGCCACTTTTGTTTTGGAACTATCAAATATGATCACACTCCACCCAGCTTGCACCAAACGTTATTACATTTTAAAAACAAATATACTATTCATTTGTGCTGCATTTGTGTGTTAAAATGTTTATTTTTACTTCTTAGTGTTTTTTAATTATAACTTTTTTTCTTTCAGGGGATATTATGTAATCCAGCATAGAATTTGACACAGATTTCACCTTGACTCTGGCAAATTGCTAAACATTTAGTAGTCCTTAGAAGTGGAAAAAATAAAGAAGTGAAAATAAGCTTTTAAATAAGTACTTAAATTGGAATATAAATCTGGGGCTGAGCTTGATAGCGAGACTGGAAAGATGGCATTTCAAGCTGCTCCCGATCTGCCGACACTATTTCCCAAAATACAACCTTTCCCGAGTGTCATTCAGCCTCGAAACCACCTTAATTGGCCACGGGAACCTCTGTCGCACTGATCACATACTACCCAAAGCCAATTAAACTGAAACGCAAGCCTGAGGGCCTACTTACCTCTAATGTTCACCAGCCTGGAGACGCTTCTGAAAACCCCCAGCTGCCACAGGTAACCGCACAGCAGTCTCATCCAGCACTGAACTGGCAATGGGGCAACGCTCCCAAAAACCACAGCCAGGTAATCATGCCGATCAGGGGGATATTAGGACAATGTTAAAACGCCAAGTGAGCCCTAAGATGGCTGCTGCAGAAGCCCCAGCCCCTCTGCTCCCTCTCTACAGCCAGTACAGACCCAATTTCCTGAACAGCCTGCGCCTTTGAGCGCTGAGACTTCTGCTACTACCTTACCAGGTGGTTCTGCCCCTGCCAAGATCTGTAGAACCTGCTGCATGACTTTCAGAAGATCGTAGCAGCAGAACTGGCACTACTCAATGCAGGCATGCAACAGGTCACAGAAAGAGTACAGCAGAAGATGACATTCTGGATGTGCAAGGTGGAATGGCTGCACTGAAAGAAAACATACTACAGCTACAATCCACACAATAGGCATTTTCGCTGCAGCTGTCAGCCCAAGAAGACAGACACCGCCGGAATAATGTTATATCCGCAGTATACCCACAACAGCAAACATTGAATAAATGTCACATTATATCAGAAGGCTCTTGACCTCCATATTGCCTCCAACTGTTGCCAAAAAGATCACCCTGGCAGGGCTATATCACCTATCTACATGGGGGTCACCCACAAAACCTCTGACCGGGGACATCATCATGTGCTGCTCTCTACCACAGGATAAGGCCCAAATCATGGCTGCCCTGAGCGGCAAGTCTCCACTCACCTTAGAAGACTCCAACTTATCCTTCTACCACGACCTAATCAAGGCCACATGCCAGTGGCACAAATCTCTCAACCAACTTACTGGTCAACTGTGCTCAACAGGGGTGGCATATCACTTAGGGGCACCAAGATCACTTATTGTCACCCACAGTGGAACTGTGCACAGAATCTCCTCAGGGGCAGAAGTGCCTACACTTCTCACAGCCTTTGGTCACATGAACTTGACACCTGCTACTCCTAGCCAAACTTCTCCGCAGACTTGGGACCCAACCCACATCGTGACATTTGTGCCAAGAGCTGGATTGGAGAATGCCTCTGTCCCCTGACTGGAAAAGCGGTTGACCATGATCCCAAAAGAGCGGCTGTAGAAGTCACAGCTTAAGCTGTTGATTGTTTATGCGTTTGATATTTTTTTGTTGTGCTTTTTGTTCTCAAGCACAATGTTACACCCAATGGGACCATGCCGGCCAGATATCAGGAGACTCCTAATACGGGCAGTTCCCTTGGGCGATATGACACACAGTCCTAACCCAGTGTCACAACTCATGCAAATCTAAGTTACAACAAATACCTCCCCTCTTGATGCCCCCTTGATTAGGGGTAATTACCCTTCTTGAGTAGCCCTTGCTCATTTTATAATCTCCACACATTCTAACGAAGGCACAAATCTTCTATGGCCTACTCCTTTACACTTTATGTTGTTATAGTCACACATTTTAACCACCCCTCTATATCCTCTTATATTGAACACACTCTAAGAGTGAAATCTGGCATATATCACTTGCAGATCTAAACTTTGCTTCAGGCCACACATATGCCGCTTAAATTACCCCTAGGAAGTCACCTCAGTATATCCCTTACAATATTGTAATATGTTTATGTATTATCACTGTCTCCTAGGTTTACACCCTTGACTTATATTAAAAAAAATCAGTTATGCCTTGACACCTTTATACCTGCTACCAATTGATACATGTTTGACTGACGCAGCTGTGTCTTTTCATGCCTCTGTTGTACTATATGCACGAATAAAATCAAGATTTATTTTTTTACAAAATTGAATATGTTAGTTTTTTTTATTTATTTATTTATTTATTTTTTTGAAACATGAGATGGGAAATTAAAATGTCAATTGAAATGGCATATTTTTCAATATCCATAATGATATGATGGCATTTGTGATCATCTTAACAAGTTTTCATTGCTAAAGTTGCCTATTCCATAATAAAAAAAAACAGTCTAGTAAAACAAGTCTTATGTTATCCTGTTTCATTCAGTGGGAAGATGGCATTTTACAGAAGTAAAAGCACTTCTCTGTAGAACGCATTAAACCCCTTTCAAAACAGAAACGTTGTTTCCAAACAAATTGCAATTAATGATGTCAAATATATATTTTATCATTGAAGATCGATGACTATATGTTTAAGAACTAATACTATAATGATTTCAAAATTTACTTAGCTTATAAAACATATATATTGACTTTTAAACCACTAGGTTAACAATAGATGCATAGATATACACACGTGTGTAGGCTGTGCCTGGGCACACTCTAATCACCCCCATACGCACAAATACTGCTCCAAAGGGGCACTATGCCACTCTCAGAAAGATGCCTGTGAAAAATTTGTGCAGCCAGGTGCTGGGACACCCAACAAAATGAGATATTAATCCAATGCTGAGCAAAAGAAAATAAGGCAACAAATATCTTACCACCAGCTCCATAGCAATAGTTGTGCTGTTAGCACTGTATATTAAAAGGGAGACTATAGTAATAGTATTAAATTCAGGCAGGTCCCTCAACTTGCAATCAATAAAATTACTTAATTATTTAAAAATATTACATAATTATGCACATAGAATTTACATATATATACATATTTTTATATTTGAAGTCTACGTGTATATTTATGAAATTATTTATGTAATTATGTATATGGATATATTTCGTATTATTTTTATTTATATATATATATATATTAATATCAAAATACAGTTAGAATAAAATGACATACATATAATTTGTTTTTAATTATTTCTACACTTTTTATTTACTTATTATTTATATTATATATATATATACACGTGTTTAATTTAATTCCAAGTGTATTTTTATATTAATATATGTATATATTAATATAAAAATACACTTAGTATGACATATATATTATATAGATATAATACATATATATATCATATATATATATATATATATATATATATATATTGTTTTTATTTACTAACATATATTTTTTTTTATTTTACAGATGCAGGGAAACTGCCTGTCAGTTCAGGCAGTCCACCTGCAGGCAGCACTATGGACGCCTATTGCGGCCATGTGACCGCTCTTTCAGAACGATCACATGGCCCGCGGGGGCCTAATTTGCAGAGGGGGGAACTTTCTGGGCTGTCAGACAGTCCCTCCAGACCGGAAGGAACACCGATCGCCAGCGGTGGAACGGCGGCGATCGGGTAAGTAAGAAGGACTGTTTTTTGTCAGACGTACCTAGTATGTCCTCGGTTCTTAAAGGGTTATTATTTCAAAACCAAATCAGCACAAATGTTAATTTTGGTTTTATTTACATTTTAAAAACATGGGGTGCCAACTTTAAACAGCTGAGTCAAAATAAATGGTGGTTTATATAATTAAAAAAATCAAACTATTGTCCACCAGTTTTGTTTTTCACCCAGACTTGTATTATGTCTAAGCTTTTAAATATACTGCGATAGGATACAACAAAACAACTCTAACTCACCTGTAAGCTAACTACATTGCAGTTACTGTTAACCAATGTTAAGCCTGTTATACCGCCTTTGTTAATATTTTTAAAAATGTGCACGCACTCATGCCACGAATAAGTTTATATGAAAGTCTATATGTCTATATGCACGCTGTTGTGGCGCATGGAATTGTCATGTACCTACCTGCACAATAAAAATAAAAAATTTAAATAAAAATAAAAAAAACTGTTGTAACAAAAGAACCAAAAAAACAAAGAAGCACACACGAAATTTTAATGGCACAAACTTGCAAAAACATAGCACTTACCTGCCAGCCTGGTTTCATGTATTTTGGCTGTTGTAGAGGAGCTGGGTGACCTTTTGGTTTGGTTCGGCACTTCCGAAATTCGGAACTATGGCAATTCAGGCACTTCGGTTCGGCAATTCTGAAATTCCGGACTTAGGCATTTCGGGATTGCGGGACTATCCCTAACCCTACCCCTATCCCTAACCCAAACCATACCCTTACCCCTAACCACTACAACCACTTACACATACAGGGGTAGGGTTAGCGGAAGGGTTAAGGGTAGGGTTAGGTGCCCAGACTGCCACCACAACCACTTACACATCTATAGGGCTCCCAGTGCCAGGAATTAGCTTATTGGTCTAGATTCCTGTCATCATTCACATCATTTTCCCTCCCTCTCTTGTTTTGCCACTTTTCAGAAATCCAAAGCACTTCGGCACTTCGGTTCGGCATTTCGGAAAGCATCCGAATATCCGAATTACCGATTTTCCGTCAAATTTAAATTCAAACCGAAACGAATTACACATGTCTACTCCCTGCTTCTTTCACACACTATCGGGACGGAGACACCTTCAAGGCCACATGAACGCAGTCATTCGCACATATAGACAGACACATACTTGGGAAGAGAGGACTCAGGGCTCAGGTGCACGGCATCAGGTAAACCCCAATTTAGCTCACCATGATGCTGTCATTATTTCCCAGATGCACCAATATCCCAGAATTTAGAACAATTGCGGACTCACCTGGCTCTCAAACAATAGATATGTCACAACTTATCCGGTATCTCTTTATTGGAACTTCAGATTAAAAGTCAGTCACATCCAGAAGGGCTGATAAAGGCAGGGGGGCAATTTCCCACCAGGCCACTATCATTCAGGGTTTATCGACTTCAGCTCAGAGCACCATTATGTTCATTAAAAGCAAGCGGAGGTGTATTAGCATGTCTGTTAGCACAGTGCCTTACCTCCCAAAAATTGTGAGAGGAAACTTGAAACGGGGGGCCCTGAGAAGGCAGTGTCCGTGACATGACCTGCATCACTTGCAACGCCTATAATCGGCGGCCCACTTGGAATAAATAATGCTGGCCCACCCACTGACAGGCTGCATTGTACTAGAGCCTGCTCCCTGGGAACAGTTCTGACCAGAAGCGGCACAGTACCCGAAATTGTGGCTCTTGTGCATTTGGAGGCCTGCAGTGCTACAGGCAGGCCCGGACTGGCCATCGGGCATACCGGGCAAATGCCCGGTGGGCCGCGATGGCCGTGGAGCCGAGGCCGGCAGGGGATCTCCCCGGCCGGCCCCTGCAGGGCCAGCGCTATCCGAGCGCCGGCCCTGCTGTGTGCCTCCGTGGGCAGGTGGGGAGATCAAAGATCTCCCTCACCGGCCCACAGGAATGGAGATGCGGCCGCCGGCTGGGGAGGGAGGGAGGGAGGAGAGAGGACCCGGCGGAGCTCTAACAAGCAGCTCCACCGGTCCTCTCGCGGGATTCTGAGCATTGCCGCGGTTACCACGGCAACGCTCAGATCTCGCGAGAGTGAACTCTAACCTGCAGGCTAGAGTTCACTCTCACCACTGGACCACCAGGGAAGGCAGCATGGCTCCCCACCCCCCAGGCAGAACGGATCTCCTCCTCCCCCCTCCCACGATAAAGGTAAGAAGGGAGGGGGGGAAATAATTTTTTTAAATTTTTTTTATTAGTTAAAAAAAAAATATTTAAATAAAAAATACATTCACTCACACACACAGCCCCCAGACACACACAGCACCCCACAGACACACACAGCACCCCCCCAGACACACACACAGCACCCCAGACACACACAGCGCACCCAGACACACACAGCGCACCCAGACACACACAGCGCACCCCCAGACACACACAGCGCACCCAGACACACACAGCGCACCCAGACACACACAGCGCACCCAGACACACACATAGCACCCAGACTCACACAGCACCCAGACACACACAGCACCCCCAGACACACACAGCACCCCCAGACACACACAGCGCATCCAGACACACACAGCAACCCCAGACACACACAGCGCACCCAGACACACACATAACCCAGACACACACAGCACACAGAATGTGACAGCAGATAAAAACACCCTCACACATAGCACCCCTCTTACATACACACACTGCGCCCCTCACACATACAATAAGTCCACATATATATATATATACATACACACACACACACACACACTACAGCACCCCTCACACTGCACCACTACACACATTACGCTCCAGATACACACTAGATCCCTTACCCTATATGCACTCTTAATCCTCTACACACACACACACACACTGGGTCATTTACATAGTAGATCTCCTACACACACTACATTCCTTGTCAGCAAACACATAAAACATTCTCTAAACACACCCTCTCTGCAACCCCTACACACACTACGTCACCTATACACACACACTTCAGCCCGTATGCACACACTCGCTGCATCCCCTATAA